ACTGCGCTGGTGGCCTGCTTTAATCCCGGGGGGGGGGGCAGGGAGGAAGCCAGTAAATCATTCTCCATTTCGGCATTGTAAAAAGGACTTAATCCTCCCCCCCACCCCCTAAGTCTATGGATGGAAGTGGGAGCTGGATGCTTGAGAGGGGGTGTGACCTAAGATGGGGAGGCGGCGTGCGGCTAGGACGCCGGTGTGTAAACACAGGGCCCCGTGAGCCTGGGCGTGCCTGGATACGGGGGGTGGGGGGGCTTCAAGGCCATTTTACATCCTGGTGTCGGTGGGGAGGGGGGGGGGGGGGGGGACGGAGACTCTTATCTCACCGTGCCCCCCTAGCTGTAAAAAGGCAGGGGTACTGCTTTCCCTTTAATGGCCTTTTATCTACATGAAAGGCTGTCACTGGGGGGGCTTCACTGCGGCCTGCCTTCACGCGACGTGGGGCCTGCCTTCATGCGACGCGGGGCCTGCCCTTTCCAGACTGGCGACGGGGCGGGACCCTCCGTTCTGGCTCCAGCCTGTCAGACATCACTCTGCTCACCAAGATCCCGTGACTGGGAAGCCCCGGACGACCCCGGATCACCTAACGCAGCCCAAGAAATGCCCTTTATGCAACATTCCTGCTCCGCTCGGTAGAGCTGACCCACTTTCCGTACCAGGCACCCCCCCCACCCCCACAGCCAAGATTCACCACGTCATCTCCCAACCAACGCGTAGTATTTCATATGTCTTGCTTTCTTGAGGGTTCTGAAATATACGTAATTCCTGACAAAAATGTGGCTCTTTTTTTTCACGCCTGTGAATTGATTCGCACTCAACAGGCTGCTAACGGGCTGGTTTTGCATTGATCAGTGTCGTTCTGCGAGCTTCCCGTTCGGGACCCTTCCAGATAAGGCCCCATTTGGTGAGCCTGGGTGTCAGTACCCAGCATGGGGCAAAGCAGAAATATCTCTGCGAAAACCCAGAGGATACTAACAAGTACATCCACATATACGCTAGTTGTAAAGTATGCTCCAAAAATAATAATGAAAAGGACACTAATGCAGGAATATATTCATAATAAGTAAATAACATGATAACCAATGGAAAAAAAGACTATTTGTTCAGCTAGTCACATAGGAGCTGAGGATCAGCTGTTTCCATGGGAGTGACAAGCAGGCAGTGAAACTGCAGGCTGCCCACAGGTGAACATGCTGGCGCTGACATGCAGGCCCTTCTGAAATCGACAGGCCGGGAAAAACCAGCTCAGTGCTCCTGTTGACCGCTGGGAATGAAGCCAATTACCCATAATGCACCTGGCGACAGTCCTTTCATATGTGTGTGTCAGTAAAAACTGTCCTGTCTGATTTCCCCCGCAGCCCCCACGTTGGCAAGACTGTGAACTAACAGACTTCTGCAGTCACCCCCCCCCCCCCCACCTACCCCCCGATACGGGTGCATCCATAAACACTGCTCCCATCTTCTCTGCGGCAGCTGCCATCTCCTTGGAAACGGATGGATCGATGGTGCTGGAGTCGATGAGGAGGGTGCCCTTCTTCACCTTCCTGCAAGACAGAGGATGGGGAGGGGGGCTGAAAAACACAGCTCTTCAAAAAAAAAAAAAAAAAAACATTTATCTGTAACCTACTGAGCCTGAACTCAACCAGTCGCACCGAGTGGCAGTCATCATCACTCAAACAGCACGACAGACACACGTCTCTATCAAACACATAGGAGAGAAGTTAAGTCGGGTCGAAAATGACACATTTCAGTGCTTCCCAACAGTGCTGAATTAAAAATAACCCAAAAGCTTATAACAATTAATGACTGCAGGTGTCCTATTTAAGCAGCTGAATAGTAACCAGCACAAAAAAGTGATTATTTTTTATTGTAATACTGACTCATTATTTAATTCTAAGTAGGAATGTAAGACCTTTAAAGAATTTCCCCCTGGGATTAGTATATCTTAAAAAAAGTATATCTTATCTCTAAAAGTAGTTCACGCTTTGTTTATCGTTATATGGACATACAGTATTCAAATTTAAGCCCCAGTAATTCTTTGTAGATGTAAATATTTGGAAATGAAGGTGTCGAGCTCTGCAGGGGTGACGACAGGCCACACAAATGCATCTGTGGCAATGGCAGGTGACGAGGCTCACTTAAGGATGCCGTGGGGCCCCGTGTAGGCGTCCACAACGTTAGGGCTGGAGGGCAGCATGGTGATAATCCGATCCGTCTTGTCGGCCACCTCCGCAGGGCAGTCTACGATCTGGGGAGGAGAGCAGGGGTGAGAATCAGGAACGCGCTCTGGGGGTGGCACCAGGTGACCGGGGGGGGGGGGGGGGGGGGGGGGGGGTGCAGCGCATTAACAGGCGGGCAGATACGGGGTCCGCCACCGAACGGCCCACCTGCGCCCCCAGGTCCTGCAGCTCCTTCCCACATTCAGGGGAGGTGTCTGCGGCGACGATCGGGTATCCATGCTTCAGCAGGTTCTTGGCCATGGGGCTGCCCATGTTTCCCAGCCCGATGAAGCCCACTGCCGTCTTGGAGGCCATGGCCCTGGAGGAGGCTGAATGAAAAGCATGCAAACAGAAAACAAAGCAGTGTTTGTGTACAGTGACCTGGGGCCTGTTTCACGAAGCAGGATTACTTGCTTAGCCAGATAACTTGCCAGATTTAAGGTAGTCTGGGCGAAATAGACCTTATTTACATCAACTTACATTTCGCCCAGACTACCTTAAACCTGGCAAGTTATCTGGCTAAGCAAGTAATCCTGCTTTGTGAAACAGGCCCCTGGACGGAACAAAAAACTGCAATAAAATCAAATTAAAAACGAAACTAAACCGCTTCCCAAATATAATCGTTTAGAAATCAGAAACTCAGCAACTTCTGGGTCCAAAGTTATATAAAGAACCAGTTCAGAAAGGTGGCAACATTGTCAGCACTGAATGCCAGTTCACACAGCACAGCGCTATTTTGTCAACAAAGGCATTCAGGTGTGACTATCCCATCTCACTCTGCTCAGACGGCACATTGCATGCACTGGTGTTGTGCATAATAATTACACCATATTCTGCCTGCTAATGCATGGAAATATACGTATACGCATGAAGAAAGAGGGCCGCAGCATTAGTGATAGAGAACAGAAGAGCGATACTTTACTGATCCCCGTGGTCTTGGTGAGACATGCACACGCATCTTTAGGTGAGAACAAGCTTGGGGTGAGAGCACAGGGGCAGCTGGCATGCAGCACCACCGGAACACTTGGGGATTAAGCGTGTTGCTGAAAAGCCAGGCGACGACATCAGTCTGTCGGCCTTGGGATTCAAACCAGCAACCTTCTGATCATAGGTGCAGAGCCACACACCACCCCGTCGAGACGTAAAGATGCTCTTACGTTCCTGTACCAAAGATGGCCTGAAAAGCATCTTTTGGCATTTACACACATTTTAACACCAAAAAATGATTCTAACAAGCCTTAATAAACAGCCAAAACAATTGTGCTTTTCGCCATTGTAGGCTACAGTGTATAATACCAGGAATGATCTTAGAGCACTATATACTTTTACAAGGGAAAATACCACCAAAGTATTACCTCCCAATCACATATAAACAAATATTGGAGGCACTGTATGTGTGTTCATGTTAACAGTCTTGTTAAGAGATCACAGGGTCTTCATATATGCAAGGCTAAGTGCAATTAACAATAAAAAAGTAATTAAGCAAATATGAAAGAAACCTGCCACATAACAGTAAAAACACGGGTGGTGGACTTTACGCAAGCCTTTCCTCCCATAATGCACTGAGGGCTTTAAGTTACTGATTCATTTAAATCCTTCAAGAGTTCATTGTAGTTCCGGTACCGCTGAACTCCCTGCAGACAATAAACACCAGTCTTTACGACTGTAATGAAATGCAGCGCAATAACGGAGGATCCAAGCACGTCCTTTCATGTTCATTCGGCACACTTTCTCTTTTAAAGAATAATCTAATTGGGCGGCAACTTAATCTGGCGTCCATGTGAACACAGGCCAATAAGCAAACAGCAAAAAAAAAAAAAAAAAACACCACAGCCATGATAAACAAACACAAGCCACCCAAAACGTCATATGGTGTTTTCACATGTTACAGCTATGATTCGCAACCAACTTTGCTTTTAATGAATGTGCATTTTAATGTGCAGGTTCCAATATGACAAGGGTTTTTCTTCAAGAACTTAACAACCTTTTAAAATATATTGGTAGCATCTTTCCCCTGCTTTTGACACACGATAGATTCAAGTTTGTCACATGCACAGTTATATACGTACAACATGCAGTGAAACTTAACCTTGAATAACTCATGAGACTGTGCATTGGTTTAGATAAAAACAGACGAGAGATATAAAAAAAATAGTTAAAATAAAGTACAGTTCTCCATTCTAAATATCCTATAAATAACGTGTTAAATATCAGTCACTTTAAAAGGTTTCTAAATAATCCTCCCTAAAGATACATACTTCAATTTGAGGGAAAATATTTTAACAATGGAACTTGGAGAAAGTATACAGACTTAAATATACTTTTATAAATGCACAAATATCTATGTATTTTATTTAGACATCTAGATATAAGATGCTAACTTAATCATCATAACTCATCAGTTTTAGATATGCCGGACTAGATTAATTAAATTAAATAGATTTAACTGGAGATTATGAGTTCGTTTCAAGGGCTGAATGGATTGTTTTGTATCGAACTACGGGCGTAAGACCTTTAGCTAACAAGCTATTAAAAATAATCATAAAAGTGCAGAGGTAATCTGAACGCACACTACTAAGCACGAAGAAACCAAGGTGCATCTTCTATGAGGGTTTTCGTATAACGTCACTGAAAGTGGACGATTAGAAAGTACGTTACCCATCGCTATGTCGGCATGCTTATTGCACATTTGCAGCAAGTTCCGCGACACTCTAAATAACGCAGCCATGCTTCTGTCCCCTTGACCTTAGCGTTACCGTGACAGCCTCCAAGCCAGGAAATAAGGGCGGGGCTTGCACTTTGATTGACGCATAGGTTTTCCAATAAGCATTTGAGTTTAAACAGACTATCCAATGAAAAACAATATAAGGCGGAACATCCTTTACACGCTTCTAAACCTTGGGTTATTTCTCGGTGGCCCCTCCTTATGTTGTTGGAGTGAATGGCAGCATGGTGTATAAGTGGTGAAGCGTTTTCAGGACTTCAGGATAGCCATCAGGTAAATAGTCATAAATGAAAAGCAGCTGTCAAAGATGCGATTGTGCGCTTAATTAATAATACTAAAGGATGCTGGAGGGTTTGGACGGCAACAGGGAAATTAAATGTGTATAATATTTAAATATAGCTCTGAAGGCAAAAATAAATAAGGAACTTTTTTTTCTTGAAAAACAGCAAGATGGTGGGTTTTCTGCGCGAAATCCCAAAATAAATTTAACATCATCCTAACAATATTAATCCTACCGATCCTAAAACTGAACACTGTACATATCCCAGCAAACAAAATACCGAAGAGGTAGTGGAGCAGGAATGTGTTTTCATTTTGTACTATGCATGGACAAAAAGGGAAAAAATAAAATGCCCAGAACACTTCCACGATTTCGTCATGAGAGAACTGAACACAAGATATTATACTATTCATGAAACGTGTCCATCCAGCTTAACGGGTATGCATTACGATCTATTTCAGGATTAATTAAAAGATACACTCTTCACACAACCCTATATAACTTTTTACATTCTGTATAACTGTTTTAGCATTTATTTATTGGCTGTATCAATCATATATTTAAAATTACATTAAAATAAATACTTGACCTATGAAAGTCCTTCATAGAACGTACACTTCATACAAGAAATGTGTTCCAGTACATATCATTATTACATAATATAACATAACATAAATGTTTTAGGCAGTGACTAACTTTGCAGTATGTGTGAAAAAATATGTAAAAAAATATTATTGCGTTAAGCTGAATGCACCGTTTATCTAAAAACGGTATATTTAAATAAACAGTGGGAATCAGAATCAAAGAAGCTATGATGTGGTAAATTACGGGAATTAATGATTTGTGGTTAGAACTTAATCTCTTTACCGGTGAAACTCCAGAACAAGAATCCGGAAATGACGTCGCATTTTTTCTAGTTCGGGACGAAATCCGAGAGCCCGTTGACGGCGGACAACTGCGTCAATAGCAGTTTTGGAGGACAGCTTGTACTATACTTCGATTTCATATGGAAAACAGGTAGTCAGTGTCTCCTGTCGAAGACTGTGCCTATTAGTGGTCGCCACTGCTTTCCTGCCGTTGTTTAGACTGTAATGATATTTGTAAATAAGCTGATTACGAGGTAGTTTGATCGCTAGCTAGCTCGCTCGTCAGTTGCGTTCTCTGTCTCTGCCGAGGACATTTTATCATTTTCTGTTTGGGCAGGTAGCTGGATATTCTAGACAGCAGTAGTGATTTGGGATGTTTATTTTCGGGATCTAGAAGTTTACAACGCAGCATTTGATGTGGTTTTGTGTTTATCTGGGCGGCCTGTAGTCCGATTATACTCGTTCACCATTTATATGACCGTGTGTTCATCATTGGCGATACAGTTTTCTAGTTTTTTAATGATTACACCTGTGTAATATGCTTCATTGTAGAGCCACGACGTCTCGTTTTTACGCAGAATATCCCTGAAACATTTTATACTACTTTAGTTGTTGTGGGGAAAGGTTGTGCCGTTTATGCTACAGCTGTTATATAGGTAAGATAACACTACAAAGCCATACCATTTCGTCTCTGAGCTTTTATCATATTAAACATTACTTATCTGCAATTGACAATCATTCAGAACTCTTTATTTCGTCTTTACGAACGAGCAACAAGTTAAATAGCACAATCTAACGCTGATGTCAGGTTTCTTTGACGACGCTGTCAATGCGTTGTCAACAGATGTAGCTACCAATCAGGTTAAGCGATGGGTGGGACTTGGTGACGAAGATGTAAACAACTGGTCTGCTAACGTCACTGTTATTTGTACTGTGTCCTTTGACATAATTGCGTATGTATTCTCTTCTGATATAACACACAAAACAAGCACTTTAGCAGGGGACATACGAACATTACAATAACTAGAAACTTGTATTACTATTATGTATTTTTATTATTAACAAGCTTTCCACAGAAACAAACAAGGAGCTGGGCAATTTAAAATTGGGTTTAGATTATATAGACCAGTCCACCTATATCAGTAAATTTTTGCCAGATGACAGATTGCTTATGGACTATATTAATGTCATTTATCATTTATTCGGATATCGAAAAACAGAACCACAATTTACTGAACTTATTTGAACCTATTTGAGTGGGAACAGCAAGAAAAGATGTGCTGTTAAACAGCCATAAGAACATGCACAGTGTACCTGTGATGCCAATAGGACTGCGTCTTATTCTGATTTTTGTGTTATGCTTTATATTATATTATATTATATTATATTATATTATCCATCCATCTTCATACCAACCTTCCAGTAGAAGGTTAAGGGGACCTGGACACTTTCCCAGGAACCGTTGGGCATGAGGCCTGTTTTGCTGATTCAGGCGAACAAAATAATTGTTTAACCCAGAAGAAAAGGTTGGACCTCAATTTGATGAGATGCATAGTTTTCAGAAAAGTCTGCTTTTTGTCCTCTTAAATGAGGTGTCGCATATAACATTATCGGTCTTAAATCGTCAGAGATTTGGAATGCTTTGTCTGTTGATGACTGTAAACCACAGGAACTTTAGAGCAGGTCACGTTGTTAGGGGGAATTTAGAAGAAACAATTCCACTTTGCTAGACAAAAATGTGCTGAGTGACTCTCTTTTGCACAAGGAAACAATGTGGCTCAGAGCTCACTGTGTCTCCCTGAAATATCATCTCTATTCCTCCTTATGAGTTAATAGAATTTAGCCAGTAAGGGAAATGGATGATTTTAAACATTTCAGTTTTAGCCTTCTGAGCAGTATTTAAAGAGAGATTTTTTTGCTATATATGATCATTTATACCCTGTAGCTGAGCCTTAGTCTCCAATGTAGATGTTGTCAAACAGAGCATGTAAAATGAGCACCTGCCCCGCCCCCTGCTAACCTGACACCAGTGCCAGTGTTCAGGGTGTGTGCCAAAAGCATAAAGAACGGAATTTTCTGCACGTCCACATCCTGAGGCCTCTGGACTTTATTTGTGGCGGAAGGCGGTGGGGTTTTCTGCTCTGGAGGCATGCCTCTTCATGCCGCACACATAGCCACAGCGTTCCTGGGTGATGGGACCGTTAGCTTTTATCCTGCCATTGTACTGGTCACCCCCTGTTGTGTGCTTGAGGCTGGTGGTACAATGCCTACAATCTAGGGCTTAAAGGTCAATGTCTGGGCTTTATGAAAACATGGTGGAGCAGATGTGGTTCCTGTTCAGCGTAAGCCAAAAAAGCTGATATGTCGTATGAGTATCCCGCTGTAGCCCCCTGATGATGAACCCTTACCGATGCCAAATGTTAATCGGTAATGTCGCCTCCCCCGCAGAGAAGACATGATTGTCTCGAACCTAAGCATGTGTCACCCGTACCTCCCGTGTTCCAGGGGAAGCGGCCATTGACCAACGGATGGCTCTATTTCCCGAAGGCGCCTCAGCCACCGGCCCTATGGAGACATCGAACTTCGCACACGTCATCTTCCAGAATGTAGGGAAGAGCTTCCTCCCTCACGCTGCGTTGGAATGTCACTACACACTGACCCCATTCATCAAGCCCCACCAGAAGGACTGGGTGGGCATCTTCAAGGTCAGTCTCCTGACCTTCTCCACTTTCGGTTTTCCCGTCTCTATCTGCCTTCTTCGTCTTAATCGACCAGCTCTGGGCATCTGTAGCGTAAGGCTGTTGGGGCTTGTGACCATCAGGTCCCAGTGAAATTTTCTGAAACACCTGTGTGTGTGGGCATATATTGGACGAATTTTCTGTCACGCTAATATGAAATGCTAATGAATAATAATAATTAAAAAAAACAAGTTAATTTTCTTGTAAATTCCCCATACTTATGGATGCTTCTAAACAGATGATAAACACTGAATGTGTGCAGTGTGACTGATCTAGTAATAAAAAGGTTAGATGTAAAGCTGTGGTGCTGTGTACAGAAGAAGCTTCAGTTTAAGGCAGCCATACGAAACGCAGCTTGAATGCCAGGGCTGAAGGGCACATCCGTGTGGCATACAGAATAAAGACAGCAGAAGGAGCAGGCATGCCCCAGGTGGGTCGGGTTAAGAGGGCAATCAAGCGAAAGGCCAGTAATTGGTTAAAAGCCGAGTCTGTGGTGGGGGGGTGGAGTCTTGGCCCACTCTAAACCAGGTGGCGAGGACCGAGGGCCGAGGACCGAGGGGGACAAGCTGGGGTCTGGTTCTAATCTGAGCACATCAAAGCAGCGGGGAAGCTTTCGTCCCCCAGGCCTCGCGTGGGGAGGGTCGCTTCCCCCCCCCACAGCTCACGGTCTCCTGAGGCTTTGCTTACAAAATTCCATCTTAAAGTTAATTGGGAGAGCATGTAGGGGTGGCGGATGACTTTCAGTCACATTAATAAGATAAAAACAAACCTTTTTATTATCTTTTTTGAAAGTAATTTCAGATCAACGGGCGCTCAATAAAATCTCAACGAGATCGAGTTTAATTGGGGAATTTTAGATTGGGGGTGTCAATGCTCGCTGACGGCTCCGTTTGGCGGTTTCGTGGAAGTCTAATGAGATGCCTGAGCGGACTCAGCCAGGTTTAAGCAGACCCCCCCCCCCTACCAGGCAGTAGGCTTTTTCCATGAAAGTGTGTCTTCTGACAGAGAATTACACCAGAGCCATGAAGTGATTAAGGAGTCGTTCCTTGCCCCCCCCCAAAGCACCGTCGCTCCCCCAAGTGTTAGATTTAACCCTTGACTTTCTACAACTCTGCTGCTACTCTCCGCTCCTTGCGTGGGAAGGGGGCACATGTGCCCCCATACATTCTTCGTGGGTGGAGGGGAGAAGAGTCTGCGTGCTGACCCCCCCCCCCCCTAAAGAAGTGGATAGAGGAGAAATTGTTTTTGATAGAATGATACACCCCCTCCCCAGAAGTAAGAGAAAGAAATATATATTTAAAAAAAAAAAAAAACCTCTGTTCACCCTCATAAATCTCCCCGGCTGGGCTGACAGGGCGGCCGCAGTGTGTACCCGCGCTGTGTGCGGATGGCTAGACAGTGACTCGTTTGGCTTGGGAGAGAAATTCCACCAGAGATGTGCTGCCCTGCCTGCGTGGGTCATCGTCGCCCCCCGGTGACCAAGAGCCGCAATTACCGGGCTAGCCCACTTCCAAGCTGCCAGCCCCGTTCTCCCCCGCGAGAGAAAATGATTGCTGCTGTTCTGCTCATTTGGTTCTCCCTGCACCGCACAGCTCTCTGCGGGGCTGTGTGAAGCCGTCACTCCGATCATTCTGGAACTTTCCAAAGAGCATTTCATGTGAGATTACGGGTAATTGAGATCTAACCAACCTCAATCAGTATGAGGGTATTTTTTTTTTTATTGCAGTTCCTTACAGCTTCCAGTTACAAAACCTGTTAAATTTAATTACTGGTTATATTGACATTTCATATTATCTCTGTGTTAGAAACGGCACACTGTACCTTGTTATCCGACAAGCCTGCGTTGGGTCTTTGATGTTGCGGCCGGCGCAGTCTGGGGGGGCCGTAATTACGCTGTCATGGAGCCTGCATAGGGCGGTGCCCCTGCCTCTGATTCATAGCCACTGCTGTGGGATCTCTGGCGTTCCACTCGCCGCGTGCCGCCCCCTTGTCACGCCATTATTTCTGTCGTGGTCTGCATGGCAGCGCCTTTTGCGATCCTCTCGCCGTCCACCTGAAGCGGAGCCTCCGGAGGGTCCTGTTCGTCCCACGTATCTCCGCAGACGAGTCGATGATTAAATGTAAAAACTGCAGCCAGAACAGTCTTGCATCCACATTTGTCAGGCTGATTCTTCAGTCAGTCCGGCCCAGTTTCACGCTAGTATTCAAGAGATTGCAATTAAAGTAAACGTCTTCTATTCTGAATTATAATCTACAGTCGGGTGCAGAGGGTAGAACCCATTACAGGCATTTTTCTTTTTTTTTTGGTCACCCCCAGTTGTTCTGTTGGTTATTTTGGGTGCACATGGGACCTAATGAGGCTGGGGATTATGGGTAATCAATAATTTCATAGTAGCATTACCATTTTTTGTGCATCTGTGTAACGGCTCTTTATTCTGTAAGCCTTTTCAGTGTTTGTTAATTCCTGCAGTAGGGTATTTGTGTTTCTGTGTTGGTATTAGGGAAATTCCCGTGTTATGGGTGGGACATTTAAACTCATATGGTCAAACAAAATGCCTTTGCATGGACAAGCTTAGTTTCGATGACTCGTTTTGTATGTCTTTTCATGTAACGTACTCGATGGAATATAGACAAATCCTCAATATTCGTGTGTTAAAATGTTTTTCTAACATAAATTATCAGTGTTATGGGTGTAACATCGAAGGGACGAACCTTTTTTTGAGAGACTACAGGTTTTCTACAAGCATGTGGATTTTAAAGATGTTTGCAGCATGAAAGAACTTTGATGGAACACAAAAATATTAAAATATTTGTTGTTTTTAGAAAACTATATTGAGGAAAAAACTCAGAGTTCAGAGACTATAGAAACCACATGCTTGCATGATTATTTTTTTTTATATGAAACAAATGAAATGGTAATTAAGAAAAATACAGCAATGAAATGAGAAAGTTAGACATAGGTGAACATTTTAAAACTAATTGTTCTGTGATCAGAACTTTACTTTTCCCCGGGTGAGGATTATGTTTGCATGGAACTGCCTGTTCATGTCATTTGTATTTGCCAGTGTATTGACTGGTTCGGAAGAGGTAAATGTGCGTTTTTTCCTTGCGTACAAGAATGGATATTGGTCCTTTTGTCTTGAACATTTCGGTATGACTGCGTGTGGTTTCCCATGTGGGTGTCGCAGTGTCTGTGTTGGGGGGGCGTGGGCCCGGCCCTGGCGTGAGCTTGATTTCACGTGACACTTTTATGGGAGCAGGCTGACGTTACTGATCTACTTCCCGTACCCCCCCCCATCACCCGTCACTTAGCAACACATAAAACTCCTTTAATTGCATTTTGCATTCCATTTTAATTTTGTATTTTTTATAATTCATAAAATTTTCACCTTTTTTTCCTTTTCTAAGCGGGCAGCGGCTCTGTGGCCCCAAGCCCCTGACAGGAAGTGATGTCGCAACTGAGGATTAAAAAAATAAAAAATAAATCAGGGAAAGTAGCAGAATGGAATAGCAAAATGGTATTACTGGTTATACGGGGGGGGGGGGTGCTTGTGTTTCCTGGATGCATGTCGGCCCTGAATTCCCAGTGGCTGGGGGGTTCATTCAAATTGCGAGTTTACAGGTATCATGATGCTATGGTATGGCCCCCCCGGGTTACGAGATTGGGGGGCAGTTTGTCATGTTGTTTATAGTGTGCCCCCCCCCTCCCCCCAGGTTGGCTGGAGCACAGCACGGGATTACTACACGTTTCTGTGGTCACCATACCCCGAGAACTATGTGGAGGGATCGACGGTCCATAGGACGGTGGTCTTCCAAGGTAAACATCTGGTTCTGTAGTGCGTGGGGGGAATTTTTATTTATCAGTCAGTCATTGAGATGGATTCACTCCCTTGTGTACATCTTAGTTTCTGTTGAGAAAATATGGAGGCCAGACTGGTAGTTTGGGGCTTTCTGTGGTGTTTAAGAAGAACATATTTAAAGTGGAGGAAGTGGAAATTAAGGATGATATTTAGGGAAATTGCAGTATTATTGTAATGCACCAGAAAGCATGAGCAGGTGCTGCTTACAGCTTCATCTCCAGCTGTCTTCCATGCTGTTTTGGAAGCTGGTTCAAAGTGCTTCTTTTTATTTCTCTGCCTTCCGCTCCAGTTTCCACCCCCTTCAGTAGCTTCCTGTCCTCCATCAACCTCTCACTTGTTCCCAAGGGTACTATGTTCCCAAAGACGACGGGGAGTTTTACCAGTTCTGCTACGTCACGCACAAAGGCGACATCAGGGGAGCCAGCACCCCCTTCCAGTTCCGCGCCGACACGCCCACTGAAGACGACCTTCTCACCGTGGAGGACGAGAGCAACTCGGACATCCTGGTGGTCACCACCAAGGTCGGCCTGCTGGAGGTACAGAGCCGAGCCCAATCTCTGGGGAGCCACACATGTCCCAGTTTCCCTCCTCCTTTCAGGAGATCTGGGCCCCTGCCTTCATTATTTACCTGGGCAACCCCCCCGCCCCCAAATAAACAGAACGCGGGGGTGTTTCACTCATGGTTTTTAAAGTAACATCAGAAATTTACATGATCATTTTCTCAGAATGTTCACAGCCTTGAATGTAACACCTTACCTCCCCCCCCCAACCTGTAGCAAAAGGTGGAGGAGGCACAGAAGGAGCGTGAGGAGCTGCTGACGGCCATGGCCCTCCTGCAGAAGGAGAAGGAGCAGCTCCGGGAGGAACGGGAGCGCCTCCAGGGGGAGAGCGAGGACGAGCGGCAGGCTTCCGTCCATCTGAGGAGCAAAAATCAGGTGAGAGATGGGAGATCTGGGGTGGGACTCTGAGAGGGCCATAGTCGAGGAGGAGGAGAGCGATGCAGGCCATGCCTTGCGATGCAGGCCATGCCTTGCGATGCGGGCCGGATCCCATATGCCACGCCCCCTCGCCATGCAGCGATCGCAGACTCTAACATGAGAGACTGCAGCGGCAAATGGGCCAGACCGGCAGCAGCGGTGATCAGTATTGGAGGTGTGACCTGAAAGCGGGAGATGGGCGAAGCTGCTCTCACACCCCCGGGAATGGTGTTTAACTCATCGCTTCTCTAAAATAACTCAGTGTCTAGACGAGTAAAAGTGTATAATGAGGAACTATGCAAATCAGCTACCCGGTGCCATCTATTGAGTGGGTAAATATGGAAGCTCCCTGCTAGACTGCGAATATCATTCATTTCAAGTTTTTTTTTTTCTTTTCTTTTTGGAAGAGACTCAAAGGGGCTGGTGAGTCTGTGGGCTGCCTGTGGCCTAAGACCGTCCCAGCCGGTGCGAACATGCTGCCAGACACATACTGCGTTTCTCCAAAAGATGAAACAATAGCCATCTTAAAAATTAACTAGATACCTAATTCTTTCACATTTTCAGATTGCACCTGGTTAACTTCATGCATATACATATAATTGTTTGATTTTCTTTGACAAGTGCCATAAAAGAGCTGTCTGGAACAAAGTCTCTTAGCGCCCTCTACAGGGCATATCAGTCACCACCGATCACATGTCCCACGATTGCAGCAAACGGGGCCATGCAGTCCGCCGCCTCATGGAAATGACGTAAACCTGAATCACGGGGAGGTTTGGGTCTCCACACAACATCAGTCATCTGTCTAATTGTGGCGTAACTGGAAAAGCTGAGCCGTTTAGGAAGGGGAAGCCCTCACTGTAAATCAATTGAGATGAAAATGGCAGTAGCTTTAGCATGAAAACATAAGTACATATTTTGTGGCTGTTAATTTTACGACTACATTTTTTATAAGGTCTTTATGTGCTGCTAAAGTAACTCAAACATTTTGGCAATAAAAGCCAACGGTAATTCCACTGGCTTAAGGGAGACAGCAGTCTCAGACGGCCCTCTGGTTTCAGACCACATCGCTCCAGAGGTGTGTCCCAGCTGGAGTGGTGCATTCTGGGTAATGGGGGTAACCCCAGGCTTGACGCGAAACCCCAGGGTTGATGTATTTTTTTCGGCGGACAGCTGTTCATTTTTAAAACATTTAAAAATGTAGCTGCAGGTTGTCTGGGGAAATCCACACATTCACTTGTACCCACCATGACAGGGAAGGGTTGTGACCGATTACTCAGGAAATGAGATTTTTTTTATTGTAACTCTATGGAGGCAGCAGGAGAAATCGCAAGGAGCTGCACAGGCCATTAGCACAGAGATGTATAGTTTTTTTTTTCTCTCCATTTGCTCTTTACCTTTTTTGTACATGTCGTACGGTAAGATGGATACTTTCTAATATTACAGGCTATGTCTGCAGCGCTCCATTCTTTAGCTGTTGGCTCGTTAGTATTTTTCAGTGCATACTTAAAGGTGATTAGCATTAATGAAGCAGTCGGCATGGTCTGAAACCAGCCTGGGCTCAGCCTACTGCAACATACCGGGCTTTTTAATCGGCCGTGTATTTTTGGCCGCGGTTCTGCCGCGTCCCACTTACAGCGGGACGCGGGGCTAGTTAGGCCAGGGGGGAGCTCCACGGGGCCGGCCTGGGCTCCATGCTGAGAGGATGGTCCCTCCTGACCTGTCGCCTTCGGTGTCTCGTTTATTGAATTTGTCCCATGGTCGTCTCCTCTGGTTTGGGAATTAATGGAGTACCCAGCAGTGTGAGGATCCCAGCCACGATGCACTGACGGTTTCAGAGCATGACCGGGGAAGATGGATTAAAGTTGCCCGCTCTGTTTCGAGACTGCTGACACTGCCGTCCTTCTGTCCACATTACAGTGTCATACAGTGATACACTGTCTGTAACGACCAGTCTGATTTTATCCGCAGTGTTGATGGTTCCACCCATTTCAGGCTCAGCAGCTGGATCCATAATCGATGGATTTATTGACGTTTAGCCGGCCGCTTGCCTCCCGTCGCTCAGGTCGATGCTCCGACTGCTAAACCGTTTCGGTTGATGATGGTTAGGAAGCTTATCGATGACACTGGGTCTGATTTTCACTGAAAAAACCCCCTTCCTCTCTTCCTATTTTAGGAGCTTCTGCAGTCCTCGCAGATCCTGCAGGATGAGAAGGAGGAGGTGAGGAAGAAGCACGAGGAGGCGACCGGAAGAATCCGTCAGCTGGAGGAGGATCTCATCGGGGTCACGCAGAAGGGCATTCAGAAAGAGACGGAGTTAGACGGGTAGGATGAACATTGTATGCGTTTATGAAGGCGGCGTGTGATTGGTAGCTGTTTTACTTGACTGAGGAGAGCATTGTGATTGCTTGGTTTTCATTGTTGTTTTTTTTTGTAGCCTTAAGGACCGATTGAGGAAGCTAACGTCGGAAAAGGACACCTTGGAGTCTCAGCTGAAGAACGAACGAGATGAGAGGGAGCTGTACAAGGTAGACAACATTCTAAATCAGCGTTTCCCATTCCAGTCCTCGGGGGCCCACAGACAATCCACATTTTTGCTGCCTCTCAGCAGGGAGCAAAAATGTGAGCTGTCTGGCAGGGAGCTTGGAGGGAGCAAAAACATGGATCAACTGTGGATCCCCAAGGACTGGATTGGGAAACACTGTTTTGTTGTAGATGATGTTGTGATGTGTTTCTATTTTTTTATTATTATTTTCTACACTTTAATGGTCAATGAGTTGTCACGCATATACAGTATATATGTATGTAGTCGTTTGTTTTCCTTTGACAAATGCCATAAAAGAGCTGTCCGGAAGAAAGTCTCTTAGTGCCCATACATATGCTTGACAGCTTGATGAGAGCAACTAAAAAAAAAGTTTATCCTCTTCAAATCGCATTCAGTCAGGCAAGTGTGTGTGTTACATCACTAGTGCTAAGTGTGTTTTGAAGCTTTTTCTGTTTAGTTTAATCCCACACTTACCCACGGGCCTCGTGAACGCACGGCTGCCGTAGAAGAAACTCGCTTGTAAATGCGGCTTGAACTTTCCCACCCGGCCGTCGTGCCGTCGGTTAGATTCATCTGAAGAACACGGAGTTAGAGAACACCAAGCTGACTGCCCAGCTCCAGATGCTCAAGTCCGTGGACATGAACAAGGAGATCACTGTAGCTCAGCTCCAGGAAGAGGTGGGCCGACTGAAAGCCTGCGTGGCCCAGAAGGAGAGTCTGCACAAGGAGCTCCTCGCCAGCAGCGCCTCCCCAGTACGTCTGTCGCCCGTCTTCCCGTGTGTGACTGCGCCCTGGTCTCAGTGACTCGTCTCAGTATCGCATTTGCTGCCAAGGGACAATGTTATCCAGCCCAAATAACGCACGGGTGTGACACTCTGCTTCAGAGGTGGAAAGTTCAGGTTCAGCAAGTACAAATCCAGACCAAGATTCTGTTTCAGCCGACCACTTGAGTACAATGAGCCACGTTCATTGTTGGCATTCAGCTGGTTGGTCGAAGCAAAACCTTGGTCTGGATTTGTACCCTCGGAACCTGGACTTTTCACCTCTGCTCTCCCCTGCTAGTCGAGTCGCCAGCCGTCTACAGGGTTGGTGAAGGGGTCTGTGACAGGAGTCATGACTTCAGGGAATTGTTTGTGTCTAGCACTGTGTAAAATGTGTATTACATAGCCAGGAACCTCACAGGAACATGGGGTGTGTGGCTCTCTTGGTACCTGTGATTGGAAGGTCGCCGGTTCAGATCCTAGGCTTGGCAGTGATGTCACCGTTGGGCCCTAGAGCAAGGCCCTTAACCCCCAGTTGCTGCAGGGACTGGTTGACCGTACTTTCTCACAAAAAATGTGCGTTGCTTTGGATAAAGGAATATTCTAAATAAATATAACAGGAACATATATGCAAAGCAGGTGTGTCCTTTAATAGCTGGTTTATATATTTGATTATATGAGTGTGAGAGCAAAGGAAGCGTTTTTATTCCCGTCCTGCAGGAGGCGACGTCGGCGCTGAAGGAGCAGCTGAGGCAGAAGGAGGAGCAGCTGCAGGCCACGCGGCAGCAGGCGGCCATGCTATCGTCGGAGCTGCGCGATGCCGCCGCCGCCCGCGACCGCACCATGTCGGAGCTGTACCACGCGCGGCTGGGGGCCGAGGCGCTGCGCGCCAACCTGACGGACGCCCAGGCCGAGTGCCGGCGCATGCAGGGCCAGCTGGAGAAGCTGCGGGCAGCCGGGTGCCAGGAGGCGGTGTGTGACGTGGGAGCCGGCGCGCGTGCGGGTGCCGGCGGCCATCCTTCCGGCGCTGACCCCGTGCCGCCCTTCTGTCCAATAGAGAGGCGAGGAGGAGCCGGGCGTGGGCGTGGCCTCGGAGAAGGAGGCGGAGCTACAGCGGGAGGTGGAGGATTTGAAGCTCAGGTTACAGATGGCGGCCGAACACTACAAGGATATGTGCAGGGAGTGTCAGAAGCTGAGGAAGCAGGTCGCCAAGCTGTCCGGGCAGCAGGGGGTGAGTGGGAGAGTGGCAGCGGGAGGGGTCAGGCTTCTGGGCTCGCTGTGGGCTTCGCTGCCCAGGTGACGGCGTGCTCTGGGATTCGCATCTTCCCAGCTTTCTGACCTCTGCTGTCCTTTCTGTTAGGACTCGAATAAAGGTTCAGCATGCAGCTCTCCAGCCCCCGAATCCCCGACCCGTTCAGAGAGCCCCGAGTCCCCCACAGCAGGTACCCCTCCCCCTCCCCACCGGAGAGACACGTTTTTGTGACTCCAGGCACTAGTGACAGTGATGATGTTCACATTCCTGCCTGCAGGGGGCCTCGCCGGTGTGGACGTCTTGCTGGACACACTGACCCAGGAGAGAAGCAGAGGCGCTGGCAGAGAAGCCAGCGACAGATACAGGAAATGCAAGCAGATGCTGAACGTAAGCGAGTCGCCCCGGGTGTCGCCTCGGCTGTGGTGCATCGGGCCCCGTGCGACGCACTGCCCCCGTCTGTGCAGGAGGAGCGGGAGCGCAGCTGCATGTTTGCCGACGAGCTGGCCAAGATGGAGGAGAAGTGGAAGGAGCAGTGCAGGATAAACGAGAGCCTGAAGCAGCAGCTGGCCGAGGAGGAGGAGCGCCGCAAGGTCAGTGGTGGTGGGGAGGGGCCCCTGGGCCTGGCCTCACGTCCACAGAGTGGCCCCTGTCTAGCCAGGAGTGTTGTTCTTAGGGAGTGTTGTCCATATGGACCAGAAGGGAAAGGGGGTGCGGCCCGTATGGACCAGGAGGGGAGGGGGTCGCGGTCCGTATGGACCAGGAGGGGAGGGGGTCGCGGTCCGTATGGACCAGGAGGGGAGGGGGTCGCGGTCCGTATGGACTGGGAGGAGAAGCCACATAGACTGTTTTGCGGTCTGTATAGAGTAAGGTCAGTGATGATGGTATATGTGCAGAGCACACCGCCCACCGTCTGCGGCGGATTAGGCCGCATGGCGTGGCCTCGCTCTGGCAGCCTCAGACGTGCACGCCGGCCCTTGTGCGAGAGAGTGCCTGTTTATCTGAGCTCAGACGTGCACGCCGGCCCCTTGTGCGAGAGAGTGCCTGTTTATCTGAGCAGTAAATAACCAGCAGTCCGCTTTGATACCATCGCAGCACTGGGATAAATACGCAGACAGCATGCTTTACGGGCCGCCCTTTCGCAGACGTTGTTTATGGCTGTTTACGGGGGGGCAGGACGTGGACGGCGGCTGCAGCGCAGACCTGGGGCTCCCTAATGCAGTCGCTGGCTCGCAGCTCCTCGTCTGAAAGCCCCGGTCTGAGCGTGTCTCTGCGGCTGCCTGACTTTTATGTGTTGTTGTGATGGGGAGGCTCCGCTTGCGTAAACCTTGCCCCCCAGGTCAGTCGCTCTTTCTGTTTTTTTAGTGCCACTCTGTGTTATTGTTTCCGTATGAGTCGCTTGGCAGTGTTTTTTGTTTTTTTCCATCCATATGGTTTCTTCCGCGGTGCCTTAATCGTCGTCCCCTGGTCTCCACTGTAGGGCCAAGTGGCAGAGGAAGACCACGAAGTCAGAGACTTGAGGGAGAAGGACAAAGCTGAAGAGGTTGGATTTTTTTCTTGTTGTTGTTTCTTTGGCTTAGTTGTTGCGTCGGAGTAGAATGTTCAGATGTATTTTTATGATCATTTTCATGTTTATGCCATGAATCTTCACCACACTGAGAAGTCTGCCAGAGACTCACAGACAGGGAATCGCTCAGCCCTGCTTGTAGAACACAGTGTCGCAATGGCTGAATGTAGCTTTTCTCGATTCCGCTGCGGGTTGAGATTTTCCTGTCAGTCATAGAGTGGTTTAACCCACATCCCATTTGCTGGATTTGGAATCCCCGCTTGCCATTAGAAGCTGCGCTGCTCAGCCAGCTTGTTACTGTGTTCGCCGTCCTAGCTGATTTAGACTCACGTTTTCTGGGAGGACGTATCCCTAACGTTACACAAAGAGAATGGAGTGCCTGTGGATTCAGACTGGTCATGTGATCAAGTTGGTGCAGTCTCATTGGTTAACTTGCGGGTCTTCCTTGTCTGTGCCGACCTGAGGCCCATGTAGTCACTGTGGTCATGTGATTCCTCATCCTGGCGCCGCTGCCCCCCCCCCCCCCAGGAACTGCAGAAAAACTCGGCTGGGAACAGTGCAAGCCCAGGGACGGAGTCAGCTGCGGCCCTGCCCATCTTCCTGCAGTACCCCCTGCCGTACCCCCAGGACCCGGCGCCGATCTCTCTCGTGCCGCAGCGCCCAGCGGAGCTCCAGTTTGGAAACCCCTACACAGCCCCAAACGCGCGAGGTGGGGGCTCCGGACAGAGGCCCTGTAACCTGGCCCAGCATTTCCAGTCTCTCTGACCACACATCCCAGTCCTCCCCATGGCGACACGTTTCTCTGCCCCGGTTCCCAGACGGAGCGGACGGCGAGTTCTCTCCAGAGCGTGCGTCCAGGCCTTCGCCGGCAGGACCCCCCTCCTGGGACAACAACGTGGTCTGCATCCAGCCGTCCCGCAACCTGAGCCCGCCAGATGGTCTGGAGGACCCCGAGGATCGTGGCAACTTGGTACGACCCTCCCTGCCCCACTAACAGCATAGCTGCACCACAGCGCCCTCTATCTTTGAAAACTGACTTCCTTGTCCATTTCCTTTGCACTGTCTCCTCTTACCTTATGCTGCTCATCGTTCTTCACGTCTTCCTCTCTCTCTCTTTCTCCTGCCTCCCTGCCTTCCTTCCCCCCACCTCTCCTGTCAGTTCTTCCCGTCCCACCCACATGCACCGGGGGCTTGGGGTGAGCTAGAAAAAAAGGGATTTACATAAAACTTCAATTAAAGTTGGCTCCTGGGTGCTCGTTATCTGACGAGTGGGGAGATAATTGGGAGAGTGTCTGCGCAATTAGACTGATGAAGGGAAGGCTAATTGGTGCGCTGCGGGACTCGGGGCTCTGGGCGAGGGCAGCATCACAGACTCGTCTCATTGCCGGTACAGTGGTATCATGACCTGTTTCTCGCTTTCTCTAGTTTGCCGCATTTAAGGATTATTAACCTTTGCTGGAGCCCATCAGTGTTCAGACAGGCGTGACTTTTAAACCTTTGTGGAAACGGATGAGTCTGCTCCACTCAGTATGTCATTGTGGGGGGGCGGTGGTTCTGTCTCGATGGGGACTGGACAAAGCAAGAGCTTTATTTGAAGCTGTTCCTACTTACTCCAGCAGGGCGGCGATACTGAGCAGCCAGCGACTCATGACTCTCAGAGTTCCCTACTCGGCGGCAGCCAGAATCGCTTTTGCTTTGACTCCAGGTAATGTTCTGTTTGTTTTTTCTCACAGCTTCTCTCGAGTTTAATCCAGCCTCCAATCCTCTTACAATGTGGACATTTTCTGAACATCTGTAAAACTCTGTGTGAGGGAGAGAGAATTGGAAAATTCTGAGCATTGGAGATCAGCTGGTGTGCACCTACTGCAGACCTACTGAGCAGGCGATAAATGTTAGAGGAATCAGAAAAGGGTATTCTTATTCTTGAAAAGAGCCCCAGCCATTTAGAAAGGAGCTATGAATCTGCTATGGAACCTTCTAGAAGCTCCTGCCTAGTTCTGGGCTTGGAGACGTTCTCTTTTTCTCTGGATCTCTCAGCACGATGTTCGTTCTGAAGTAACGCTAACGCTAATGCTAACGCCGGTTCTTGGCGCCAGCCCGGGTTGTGATGGGTCTCTACCCGCTTCTCCCAGCAGCCTGGACATCCACAAGCGCTGTCCGCTGTGTGAGGTCATCTTCCCGCCACACTATGAGCAGAGCAAGTTCGAGCAGCACGTGGAGAGCCACTGGAAGGTCTGCCCCATGTGCAGCGAGCAGTTCCCCCTGGACTGCGACCAGCAGCTCTTCGAGAACCACGTGCTCACGCATTTCGACGGCAACGTGCTCAACTTCGACTAGGGCACCCCCCATCCCTGGA